TTATAGAATAAAAGGGTAGATTATTGAATCTACTCTCAAACTAAAAAAGCAACTACTAGTCTCAAATATTTTACATTGCTATTGTATTTTTGTATATTGATACAAATTTAAGGTTATTTTTGTTATATCATATTATATGTCTCTATTTCTTGTTTAAAGTATTATACCTATGCAGTTCATTTTAAAATGTAAAGTTTTAATCCTTGAAAGCTATTTAGGAAATAAAGAAAGATGTGTTAGTAATTAGTCATCTATAACAATCAAATTTATAGTCATGTTAGGTATGTTTTCAAGGTCAAACAGATATATTCTAAATAGATAGATGGTCTTCAAACACTTCAGAGACCTACAGAATATGGCATTTAAAATGTTTTAATAACATAAGGTTTTTTATGACAATGAGGCATGTCTGCTCCTCGAAGCACCAATTTCCTTCAAAAAAGGATGATGGGCATCAAAGAATCTCCACATGGGGTTTATTGTCTATGTGGCAAAGCTAGCCATTTGGGCAAGAAACTACCCTTGCTTCAACTGCTGACAGTATGCTGTCCAAATTGGACAAGTAGGACACAAAAGAAGGTAACTGCCAAACTTTGCCGAGACAAGGTAAGACAGCCTTCAAAATTCCTGCTTCACAAAAAAGTCTGTCAGATATTCTAGGCCTGTAGACCAGATGGATGCATCAATGTTGCAGAGGAACCTTGGGCGACTGTCCAGGAAGTCGGATGCCTTTGTCATTTCTATAGTTTTGGAAGTTGCTTGCTCTGTACTTCCTGTTTACTCAGGTAATATTATATCCTTCTTGGATCATTGATGGGGTTAGAGACTAGATATTTATGGTTACAGTTTTCTTTGTTAGCAAATTTAGAGAAGAAATTCATTAAAGAGGTAAAAGTATATAAGGTTGAGAGACATAAAAGTTTAAGTTGTTTATCTAAGAAAAAATTTTGAGGGGTTGGTAATATAAGTTAGGGTAGAAATTAAATTAGGTACCAGATTTTTGACTTATCAAGATAGGATAGATAATGGAATATTTTCTCTAAATTTACCAAATGCAGATAGACTGGACATTGTAAATGTAATTTGGACCCACTAATTGTTCTTCTTATATACAATTTTACTGTGTTAGAGTTAGAGCCTTTACTTTTTATTTAGACAAAAACGGGGAAATGTTTCGAAATATTTGTACACTGTGAAGATATATTACTGTGACTGGTGTAATAAAAAGCTAAATGGACAAAAGCTAGGCAGGAGAGAGAGGCAGGACTTCCAAGCACAGAAAAAGAAAGCTGGGAAGAAGAAAGATGGCGTCGCCAGCCAGACCTGGAAGAAGCAGGATGAACAGTATGGAGTAAAGGTAACCTAGCCATGTAAAAGAATGCAGATTAAAAGACATGAATTGATTTAAGTTATAGGGACTAGTTAGGAAAAAGCCTAAGCTACGGCTGACCTTTCATAATTAATAATAAGTCTCTATGTCATTATTTGGAGCTGGTGGTGCAAAGAAAGTCTGTCTAAGAAAGGGAAACAAGAGGCCCTCAGAAATGCCACCTGGATCCTTGTGTTCCACAGATCAGGGCTGGACTGTCACAGTGAATAAGAGGGCATACTGCTCCACAAAGCAGGTAGAACATTTACACCTGTAATTTTAGGCTTAAAATACAAATTGTGTACAGAAAGAGCTTAAGCTAATTTGTGGACGATAGGATTGTTTGGAACACCGATGACACTTGAAAGCCTGTAATGGTAAACTGAGGAAAGACAAAAATGGTCTCGGGCTCTAGTGTAGACCTTTCAAGGCAGATGCTTTTCCAGTAATATTCTTTCCTTACATCATCCCATAATTACACTTTTATACTTGGATGATAGTCTAGGGAGGACATAGGCTGGCATACACTCTTCCAGGCATGAATGTCACGACAGTAATTTACCTTTTCCTCTACAGCAAAGTGTTCCCAAAGCAACAGGGAATAACACCAACTTAAAATACTTTCCTGTGGAGAAAAAGCAACGTAGTCATACTTGGTGAGAATGTAAATCATCACCACTGTCATAGGACATAGTATAGAGTTTCATGTGGTTGGTCCAATTTTCCCACTTCTAGATACAGATCCAAAGGAAATAAAAACACATTATTAAAGTGATGCCTGACCTTGTTTACTGTAGTACCATCCCTATAATCAGCACATAAAGAGTTTACAAAATGCAATATATGTATGAATATATATGTATATACATATACACACATATATTCATACATACATTCCATAAGTAAAAATATGTGTGTACATAAATACATATGTATGTATGTTTTATATGGAATATTTATTCCATCCTAAAACAGGATGGAATCCTGTCATTTTGGTAACAGATGGAACTGGAAGACATTAAGTAAAATAAGGCAAACATAGAATTTAAGATTTTACGTATTCTCTCACATATGAAAACTAAAATGTGAATCAGAAAACAGAGTGATGATTACTATAGGGTAGGAAGCAGGGAAGGCAGGAATGTGGTGGTTGGGGGTCGGGGTCAGGTAACAGGAACCATAATACAGCAGCATACAATTGATCTTTATTTGATAAAAACTATAAATGAAGAATTTGAATGTCCTCAACGAAAAGAAACCATAAGTGTTTAAGGAAATGGAAGTGTTGGTTGACTTGACTTGATCATTATGCATGTGTATGCATTGAATTATCACACAAGAAGTACATAAATAAAGCATTTAAATATGTACAGTTATTAACATGTGCCAGTTAAAGAATACAATCAACAAAACACATAGTGCTGTGACTGGCAATGCCAGAGCATAGGCTTGTTTCAGGCTGGCTTCAGGCTTTGTTTGTCATAATGAAGGTAACACTGTAACAGACAGTATTTTTGCTGCATTATGCTGAGACAAGGGAATACTCCCCTTATACCATACATTTCGTTAGGCATTGTAGTTATAAACTTACAACTTGATACTTAAACTTCTCTATTGCTGAAATTTTGGAAAGAAAACTCCTAGAATATGGTGATATTTTATTTGTGCTGAAATGTGATTTTATTTGTATGTTAATAAATAAAAGTGCCTGAGGGTCAGAGCTAATAGCAAGCCATTTAGCAGAAGTCTGGCAGTGGTAGCACACACCTTTAATCCCAATCACATGACAGGCAGATCTCTGTGTGTTCAAGGATACCGCCAGCATGGAGACACATGCCTTTAATCTCAATACCAACCATAGAGACCTGGAGGTCTGTATAGACAGGTAGTGATGAGGAGGTCATGTGGTTGGGTTTACAACCAATGAGAAGGCAGAACAGAAAGACAATAAAAAGACAGACACACAGGAAGTAGGTCTCTTTCTCAGGGGAAGGACGGCAGCGGCATCGGGTGGTAAGAAGGCGGTCTTGGTCTCAGCTCTTAGCTACTGCTCTCTGACCTCTGGGGCTTTTAACTCTGCATTTGGCTCTGTGTTTCTTATTTAATAAAACCGTTCAGAATTACATCTACACTAGAATCTTATTCTCTTGTGGAAAAATGAGATTTGGGGGTTAGCAGACAAGGCCTTAAGAAGATAATTGCTAAAGCTGCTGAAAGAGGGAATCAATTTTCTTCAGGGACAAGCACCCTGGTAGGTTATTCAATCCTAAATGGTCATCTCTAAACACATACATAGGAACAACACTAAATGGACTCATCAGGGTGTGTGTGTGTGTGTGTGTGTGTGTGTGTGTGTGTGTGTGTGTAAACCAACAGTAATTAAAGAAGAGTTCAAGAATTTTGAGGAACAGGAGAGAGGAAGATACAGGAGGAGTTGCAGGGATAAATAAAATTTTAAAACGAATGAGCACACATTGGGTAGTACGGAATAAAGCGGGTGGATCTGGAGGAAAGGGATGAATATGATCAAAATACAATGTATGAAATTCTCAAGAATTAATAAATATGTTTTTAAATGAAAAAAAGGAGATAATTCCTGCTAGGCATTTGCTCTATTGGAAGCCTTGGCTTTGATCAGCAGTGAAGGTGACCAGCAACAGAAGTGATTCCTCTCCAGGAAGTGGCAGGATGTGGTTGTATATGTGGCCCCTTCATAGAAAAGGAAATTTCCAAAATGAAAAGCTGTGGGTGACCTTCCAAGGTCATAGTTCACTACATTCAGAAGGACAGGAGCACTTAGAGACCGTGGAAATTCTGATAGAGGCAGCCTGTTTTAAACACCCTGAGAAAGCACATACATTCCAAAGCCATCAGCTCACTCCAGCCAAGAACCTTCCTGCCAAGAGCTTCTTCGTAGGTTGAACATGATCCCTCAAGGTATAATTCTTGCTTTTATTTTTTTTTTATTTTCTTCTCCTGAGAGACAAACAAGTTGGTCATGAAGACTAATGAGCGAGCCCAAGGAATGCGGCTTGCCCCGAGTTGGTGAATTCACTAGAAAACTTACTGTGCTATCCATTTTCCCCCAGGTCTGAAGAACAGCAATTAAATGCCTTTCCTGGCAGGCAGAGGGCACTGAAAGGAGGCAGCTGGTTTACCTGAGTGCGAATAACTAAAATTCTTTTAATCTCAAGGTGCAGTTTGTCAGGGCATACTTGCTAGTGCCAACAGAAACACACACCCTCAAAGTAGCAATAGAAAGAGGGAGAGCAGGAATTTCAGTCTATAAAAATGCCAAGCTGCATGGAGCTGAGCTGGCCCTCGAGAAGGGCAAGGAGGAGGTCTCTCTCACCCAGGTAATGACTGTATGGGTCCCATAAGGAGATAGTTAAGTCAAACTGAGATGACTGCGCTTAGGAGGGAAAAATATGTCAATCACACTTTGCCTTTGACACAAGGAAATTCCTTGAAACTGAGAATGGAGAGTGGAAGGGAGGGAGAATGTCTCCTCATGTGGGTGGCCAGGAAACCAGGGGCCAGAAAAGCATGAGAGGAGAGAAGGAGAAAGAGTCGGGGGGGGGGGGGGGGGACAGAAGATTGAATTCTAATCAAAATGCTATGAGGCGTTCACACCAGGCCTTGAGAGAATATTAACAAGGTTACGGGTGTGTGGTGGGGGGGGGGACTTTAGCCCCAGGAATTATTAGTGAATATGGAATTATATTTGCACAAACACTACCAGATGCAAGGAGCTAAATGTCCTGCAGATGTGGAAGGGGCCAGCGTGTGCTCCAAATAGGCAGCAGCTTTATTTGTTTTACTGGTCTTCCAGAGCCAGGGCAGCACATTTCTGTGGGGTTACATTTCTGGAATGACCAGCGCACCATGAACCCCATTTTCCCAAATTCTGCCTTCATCAGCCTCCATGGTGCCTCAGCCCAGAAGCATGTGGAGTAGCCCTGAGGCAGGTTTGACTTGCTCACCAACTTAGTCTTCTGTCTCCTTTGTAGAGGAGGAGGGGAAGGACAGTCTGACATTCCCAGAAGGGATTTCCTGAAAGATGAAAGAGATCAGAGCTAGGTCTATCTCAACCACTTCAGAGAGGAGCTGGGAATACAGATATAACCCGTGAACAAAGGAGGCAAGGCATTTCCTTGTCCTATGAAGCATCCTACCTTCTCGTCAGTTTAATTTAGATCCATCACTGCTGGAGAGGATGTACTTCATCTCTGACTTCGGACAAATCACTGGTTTCAGAGAGTCTTCTGAACACAAGCCCCCAAATGCCTCCAATAGTCAGTCTGAGCAACAGTTGGGAGGATATTAGATTACTGTGAGGTGAGATGGCTCAGGGGATAGAATGCTTCCCCGTCAGTTGGAGATCCCATGGCCACAACCAGCCATAGCCCTTGGAAACGTACTGATGATTACCCTTTCTAACTAAATATTTATTCAACTCCCTCATACTAATGTCAGAATTGTTCCTTGTTTTTCTAAAGACTCCCAGAGTTGAATGAGCCTCAGACCCATATCCTCTGGATTTGGCCCTGGTGCCATGTGTCCTGTGTCCCCTTCCCAGACTCACTTATTTCCATCATTAGTATCTGAAGCAGGCTCTGTTCATGCCATCTGACCTGAGACTTTCAGCCACAAAGTTCTACATGGGTTTTAACAGAGGTCTGCCTTATGCCGCAGGAAGACAGTTATCCTAACCCTCATTCATTCCCTGTGCTTTCTCTAAGATTCAAATGACTTCCATTGACACCACCCCCACTGCATCCATGTGCCCCTTACCTGCTTCACAGTTGATAGATGTTTCTTTGTTTGTTGGTTGGTTGGTTGATTGGTTGGTTTGAGACAGTGTGTCTCTTTGTAACAACCCTGGCTGTTCTGGAACTCCCTTTGTAGATCAGGCAGGCCTCAAACTCACAGAGATCCTCCTGCCTCTGCCTGCTGAGTGCTGGGGTTAAAAGCACGTGCTACCAAACCCAGCCAGTTGATAGATCTTAAAGTTCTCACTGTCGGAGTTCTCTTCTTTCCTCTGATACATGTGCTTGCAAGTTTCTCTGGACATTCCCCCATCTTGTAATACTTTCAGGTGTTTATAGCCCGTAGACAGAAATAGGAAAGCTACTTCACAGGATCTGGCTTGAAGGATTTTTAAGCTACAGCGATTTAGGCATCTTTTAACTGAACTTCAAAACACACTTTCTCCAGGAAGCCACCAGATTAGTGGTGGGCCTCACAACTTCCCTGCAATTCTCTCATAGTCCTTTGTTTACTGTAGGCTCCCAACCCCCACACAGAATGTTTGCTCATGTTCTCATTCTTCTGAGAAGATGGGATCAGCAAGCAATGCCTTATAATCTTTGCTCCATAAATGCACATTTCGATTTCAAAACATTGTGAGGACCCAGCAGCAGAATTCCCAACCAGAAAATGTCTGAAATGAAGAAAGGTTTTTGTTTCTTTTTTACTTCGATACAACTCAGCATCTATCATGTTGCCTTAAAAAATGAAAAAGAAATCAGCTAATTTTGTATCAAAACAGTACACCTCACTTCAGTGTGGAACAGAAGTCCGCGGACCTCCTGGGCTGGCTCCCCAGATTCTTGGGTATGGATGGCTTCGGCTCCTTAGATCTAACAGCAGCGGATGGTGCTGCTTCCAAGTCTGTAGCTGTAAACTAGATGGTGTTATTTCTTTCCCATTGCAAAAGTCCCATGAGCCCCAAGAGTTAGATGATTAATGACCGAAAGCTCCTACACAAACATGAAAACTTAATAAAAATAATCCTTCTTTGCCCCAGTGATAGGCACCAATGACCTGATGCTAAGCCTTGGTCCAATCTTAAGGCAGCTGAGATGAACCCTTCCCCTGCTGGGGACAATCTGGGCAGTTTTTTGACTTCTTCCACTGACAAGTCCCCTGCTCCTGCCTGTAGGCTCAGACTTTACGCCCAGTAACGTGAAATTGGCTCTCTGTTTATGGAGGTCTCACACAAGGGATATCTCCAGTGTGGACCATTGTGGGCTCAGTATAACTTTATCATCTCTTTTTCAAGGAATGTGCCTGCTTGACCTATACCACAAAATTATTAGGAAGATTGTTTGAGATCAAAACTTTTCATCAAATTTTCATTCAGTTTAGACCTTCTCTAGGAGAAGCCATGCACAGCTGTGGAGAGCCTCCAAGGGAAGCATGTTTCCCTCCTGACTGCTGGAACTGGAGTGTGCTTTGGACAGAAAGTCATAAGGAAATAGGTTCAGGCAAATTTTGAGTTTACTGTAGTTTACTGACTAAAACCCATTCTTCTCTTCAGGCGGAATACAGCCATGTGGAATGTCTGAGCTCAAATCTGATCCCTGAGCAAATTAAAAACACCCCAGGTGGGTTATCAACCAACTCTGACATACATTCAACAGTCTTGTCCTAAACGACTTTTGTTTTCTTCTCGTTGAGCAGATGAACAGCTAAGGGAGTCCCTGCAGGAGAAAAGCATCACAAAGCTTCCTGTGTCCCATACAATAATTGTGTGACTAGCTGGCCAGGTTTCACAACCCAGAGGAAAGCTAGATGAGGCACATGAGACTCTTCCCCAAGCAGATCTGGATCTGAAATCCCGACTGAACCAGACAGCAGCTCTGGCATCTTAAGCATCTTGTTTAGTTTCCCTCCATTTCTTCCCTTATATGCAAAGAGGGACAAAGTCTCACAGAAAAACAGTGCAGAAGTAATGCTGTTAGCAGCCACTGCACATTTAGAGGGCTGAATTCAGACTTTAGGATCTAGGTGGGCAGGACCAAGAGTTTGATGAGTTTTGTTCCATTCCAGAAGCAAAAATGAAGAATTACTGACATAGAACAAAAGCTTTCCTCAAAGGATCCAATGTCAGTAAATATCTGTCCTTATACATTCTCTGATTTTCTCCAAGTGTATTATCAATAATATATAGAAATTGTACATGTTCTTAAATCTGGGAGTACAGCTCAGCAGTATGGCATAAACTTGGCATGAGTTAGGTTCTGTTTTCAAGCTCTCAAACTATAATTTATAAAATAAAAATCGTTGGTCAAGTTCTTCAATTATACAAGCTGACTGTATCACAATTATGGAATATACTACTAAAAAACATTATGTATTATAAAATCACAAGTTAGAACAAAAAATGGAGGTGAGGCATATTCAGTTTTGTAACTAGAGCAGTGAACATCACCATTAATTATTATCTGGGAAGTAATTTGAACAGCCTAGCAAAGAGCATCTCCTGGGCCTTGCCTTGGACACTATATTCAAATGGTTAAAAACCATCTGATGAGACTTCTACTCCTTGTGCTCATGGAATAAGGGGACTAGGTTTATCTTCCTATGTAAAACTCTGGATAAATACATGTAATACTAGCTTTTGTGACAGTGGCAATAATTGGCAGAGGACAGTGTTCTCTATAGGATCAGCTAGGTGACCCCCACGGTTGCCCCCAGCTGCACACTGAGGAAGGCAGGGTAGGGTACTGGTGGCTTTTCCAGGAGGAGGCACGGGAGTCCAGGGAAGCCAATGTAATCAAAGTTTTCAGAATAGAGAGCCAAAGGAGAAAGAGAGATGGCCAGTGAGAGCGTCTGGGATTTGTAGTCTTCAGCAAGGTTTCAGCTAAGAAGTGCCCAAACATATAGTTAACTACCTTAACTGTCCCAGTATGCACAGAGAGCCAGGACAGTGACTGTTCCCATCATCCTGAATGGAAAACCTCATAACTCTTGGGGGTGAGGCTAGTAATGAAAACATTCTAGTCTCAGTTGTGGGGAGAAATGAAAATTGAGCTAAACACTGTCCTGATCCTGCTGAACAAAGACTAAATCAGGATCTGAAGCATCAGTTTGCTTCTTAATACTTGGTCCTACTCCAGAACAATGTCTATGTACCACCTTTTAAGATAAAACAACTGCCAGGCAGTGGTGGTGCACACCTTTAAACCCAGCACTTGGGAGGCAAAGGCAGGCGGATCTCTGAGTTTGAGGCCAGCCTGATCTACAGAGTGAGTTTCAGGACAGGCTCCAAAGCTACATTGAGAAACCCTGTCTCAAAGAGAGAAAAGAGAGAGAGAGAGAGAGAGAGAGAGAGAGAGAGAGAGAGAGAATGACTGGTGTGCATCTAGTAGAAAATGACCAGGAACATGAAGAATCAATTTTTTTAAAAAAGTGAGCAGGGAAATAAATTCTGTTCAAAATTACTTAAAAATGATCTAAATTATAACTTTAATAAGGAAGGTTAATAGAATAGGTGTGGTGACTGTGTTCCAAATATTCAGAATGTGAGAAAGGGGCTGAGAATACAGCTCAGCAGTAGAGCATCTGCCAGCATACACTACACTCTGTACTTCAGAAAGAAGGGTGAAGGTCCCACAAGCTTTCTCCTTCCGTGACAGCATGTCCATTGGTGTCTCTGTAGTGAAGGGCTTGTTTTGGCAATCATGTTGATGAGATTTCACGGGAGTAGCTTCTGACATTTCTAGGAGACACAGTCTCACAGCAAACTTCCTATTCCTCTGGCTCTCTAAATCTTTCACCCCTATCATTAATTTTACGAAATTAATACTATTAATATTACAAATAATAGTTTACAAAATTAACGTTTAAATGATTATTTAGACAAAGGAAACATACACTAGAGATACATTCAATATATTAGGCAAAGATAATGAAGATGCTTCTACAAAATGCATTTCTAGCTAGACACCTTTGGGCCACACCTACAATTCCAATACTCAGGAAGCTGAAAGAAGGAGCCTGAGATAAGGTAAAACCCTATTTCAAGTCCACACCTGAAATATCTTCTAAATATGGAAGAAGTAAAAAGCATCAAAGATGTAAAATGCACTGGACAAGATTCACACTAGCTTAGACATTAAAGGCCAATTGGTATTTGAAGATGCAGAAATAGAAGCCATTCACCATGAAGCACAGAAGAACTAAAGGCTTCAAGAGAAAAGGGAGTGCATCACTGGTCCACAGGACAACCTCAGACAGACCAGTAAGTGTGTGAATAAAGGAGGTAGGTCAAGGGAAGACACAAAATATTGATGAAAGTATAACTAAAATATTTCTAAATTTAAGAAGTATCCAATATGCTTCAACTACAAGAAACATGAGAAAATATGACAGCGTCAAGACAGATCATGATCAAATTGCATGAATAAGTATATGCATGTACAGAAATTCTGTGAGATTTTATGATTAATATTGCTATTCGTATGTTGATAAATTTAAAGTTAAATTTAAAGTTTCAACTATAACCTTGGAAGTCAAGTACACAAAAGAAATCTCTATTGTCATCTATGAACCAAAGGAAATAAAGTAAGCTAAACAAACAAACAAAAATTAATTAAAATAAAAATCTACCCAAATCTCCCATTAACCATATTTGGATATTGGGAAAATATAATGAGATACGAACTCTCACTAATTAAAAGGGTTATTATAAAAAAGATGAAAGAAAAGTGTTGACCCGGAAAACATAAATGTGGGGAAGAGAACGCTTGTATACTGTTGGTAGGAAAGTAAGTTAGTTCAACTATTATGGAAAACTATAGGTATTCATCAAAAAACAAAGAACAAAATTATCATATAATCCAGCAATCCTATTTCTGTACATTTACCAAAAAGGGTTCAGACCATACATGTATGCATGTTGGTTGCAGTTATATTTATTTGCGAGAACCAAGTTCTAGAATCAATTTAAGTGTCTATCAGTAGATGAATGGATAAAGAAAGTGTGGTGTGTCTGTGTACAATGCAGCTTTAAAAAAAAAGATCTGTCATTTGTGATATGAGCAAGCCTGGAAGATGGCACAGTAAATAAAACAAGCCACGCTAGACAAATACTCATGGTCTCATCCATATGAGGGACATTCAAACTCACTGAAGAAGAGGGTAACAGTGGTTACAACAGGCTTGGGTGGAGGGAAACTGTGGTGACATTGGTCAAGGACACAACAATTTAGCGAGGTATGAGGAACAAGTTCAAGATATGAGCGAACATCACAGAGACTACAGTTATGAACAGTGTATTACAAATGACGTCCCTAAGAGAAGGCTCAGTGATTACTCTGCATATATGAAAACAAGAGTGCGTGAGGCAGGCACATAATGGCTTGAGATAGCCATTCCACAGTGTTCACATAACAAGACATCATGCATACCATAAACATATGCAATTTTTACTTGCCAATTAAAATATTAAAGGGTAAAACTGTCACACTAGAATTTCAAGTATCTTTTAAAATGAAAGCAAAACTCTTTTTCACACACATACAAAAAGACAGAAGCTGATGATAAAAACTATAGATTGAGAAAAATGTAACAAAATTCAATAACCATCCTCGGTTCTTCTTTTCTCTTTCTTCCTTCCTTTCTTCTTTCCTTCCTTCCTTCCTTCCTTCCTTTTTCTTTTCTTTTCGTTTTTTTTTTTTTTTTTTTTTTTACAAAATCAATTGAGAACACAGCTCATGCTTGACTAGCATGTGCAAGGCTCTGGGGCTTGAGCCCTAGCATAACACTACAAAACAGAATCAAAGCCACAAATCTCACCAAACTATGACTAGAACAAATGCCCTTGAGTAGATAAATAACACATACAGAAACCCTACATCCAATATCACACTTAATGGTAAAAGACTATGCTTTTCCTCTGAAATCAGCATGAAGTAGCTGATCACCAGCATCATGATGCCTGCTCCATACATATATTCCAAATTATACTGGTGGTAACAGCATAATAAGGGAAGGAAAAGAAACCAACGGTATCCGTATTGAGAAGAAAGAAGTAAAATGTCTTCATTCACAAATGACAAGATTGTATACACGGGAAATCCCAAGGAAGTTACAGAGAAACCGTTAGAACTAATTGATGGGTTTAGTATTGCTACAGAATACAAAATCAATACACAAAAATTAATTGCGTTTTTTGTACACTAGCAACAATTAGAAACTGAAATGTAAAGTGCCATTTACAGTAGCATCACAGAAAACATGGGTTAACCTGCCAATGAAGGGTTGATATTTGCATACTACAAACTACAAAATATTAAGAATTGAATTTGGTTCAAGGGTTGAAAGATTAAATAATTCATATGTCAGTCCTTCCAAAGCTAAACTGTGATTCAATGGCATCTCCAGCCCAAATCCTATGGGCTTTTTTGGGGAAATCAATGAACTAGTCATAAACTGTATAGGAAAAGGAAAAAGCCTTAGAATACTCCCCAGCACTTTGGAAAAACAAAATAAAATTGAAGCACTCACACCGCTTGACTTCAAGACAAAAAGCAAAGAGGCTGTGGTACTGATGTTGGGAAAGACAGAGATTCACAGGACAGAAGACAGCCCTGAAAGAAACCTGCACATGTGGTGAACTGATTTGGACAAGGAGGCAAAGACAATTAAGGAGAGAAAGAACAGTCTCTCCATCAATGATATGTTAACAATTCCCATTCATTTAAAAGATGTACCTCAATCCATAATGCAGCATGTGCTAAAAATTACCTCAAAATGGAGTATACATCTAAACGTAAAACCTAAAATTATAAACCTTGAAGATGTTGTTTGCTGGATCACTGGACCTGAGCTACAGGCATCATGACATTGCAACCCTAAGTACTTCTGAAAGTGCCTGAAAAATGAAATGCTCACTGTTCGTTACTGATCTCACACCTATATTGTGGAGACCTGATAGGACAACATCACATAACACATAATCTCAACTCAGTTTTTTAAACTGACCCACTAATATCATCTTCTTCCTATTTATTTCAATACAGAAGCGAGTCCAGGGATGTGCACTGTATTCCATATCTTTATTTCCTGTCATCTAGAACAGTGCCCCCCTCCCCACCCAAAATTTTCACTTTGTGGCCTTAATATTTTTCAAAAGCCCAAGCTAGTTGTATTGAAGGACAACTAACAATATGTATCTAATTGATTTCTCATCTTCGGAGGCAGGTTAAATATTTTGTGTACGCTGCTTAAGTGATAGCGTCCATCCGCCACTGTGTCACAGCAGGTATTCCCGGCGTCAGCCCCACTGGCAATGCTGCTGAGACATTTAGTGGTGGGGCATCGTCTGTCTCCGTTGGGAAGGAGCCTCTTTCCCTCTTTGATAGCCCGTCTCAGTCTGCGAGTTCTGTCATTCCCAGGCAGTTTACCAGGGATGTGCTTTATTGGAACCGGTGACTTCACTGGTGTTGAAAAATGGTAAATTTGTGATTTTAATATTCACTTTACATATAACAGTTGGCATTCTCCTGTAAAGGAGAGCTTGCCTTTCTCCTGTTTTCTTTTCTGGTATCAGTATGAGTGCACAGATCTTAAAAACAAGTGTTTGATCTTAATGAATTACTACCCGTAGCATAGTTACATGTCATTTGTGTGTTCCATGCTAGTCTTTGGGATTCTCAGCCTGCCCCAAATGTGACCCTGGAAGGCCTGCCTGCACACACAGTCCAGACACAGCAGGGCTGATGCACATATGAGCTCACAGAGCCGATGACAGCATGCGCAAGAGCTGCACAAAGTCAAGCCAGAAAATCCCAGCACAGAGAAGAGGAAGTGGGCACGAAGTCCCACCCCTAACCAAGAAGCTATTTGCAATTGATACCTACTGGGCAGGGGAGAATTAGTTTTCTCCAGTGGAGTGACACTGGGTATATCAACCACACTCCAGGGCAGGCCTCAGGCTCAGGAATAGTTGGTCAACATGAAAGGGACTCCGTGTTTCTTTATGTGCTTTTTTTTATTTGTTTGTTTGGGTTTGGAATGTTTTTGTCTTTTGAGGTTTTGCTGTTTTTTTGAGAGGGGGCAGGAAGAAAGAACATGAAGTTGGGTGAGTAGGGAGGTGGGAGGATCTAGGAAAACCTGGGGAAGGGAAAAGAATACGATCAAAATACACCGTGTGAAATTTTACAAATAATTAAAAAACGTGACAACAGTATTTTTAAAGGCGCTTGCGGGCCTGCGTCTAGCCCACTGCCAACCTGTCTTAACAGGCTGGGAGCACCTTCGTGATGTCTGCAGGAGCCTTGTTCCTCTGCTACTTCAAAGTTACAACTAGATGTTTGCACCTGAAGCTTTCTTGTCTGAGTGAGGGACAACATTAAACCAATGACCAGTCTAGCCTAAAACCCATGCTAGGAGAGCAAGCCCACCCCTGACCCTGCCTGGAGCACCAGGATTCACAGGCTGGATGACTGAGAGACCAAGGATAGAACCAAACATGACTGGAGGAGGAAAATGTCAATGTCATGATGCCTAACGATATTCTGCTATACACATAGATTGGTGCCTAGTCCAGTAGTCATCAGAGAGGCTTCATCCAGCAACTGATGAAAGCAGATGCAGAGACCCACAAGTCAATATTAGGCAGAGCTCAGGGAATCCTGCAAAAGAGGAGGAGAAAGGGTTGTAGGAGACAGAGGGGTCAAGGACACCACAAGAAAACTCACATAATCAACTAACCGGGGCTCATATGGACTCACAGAGACTGAACAGCCAACCAGGAAGCCAGCATGGGACTGACCTAGGCCCTCCGCACATGTTACACTTGTGTATCTTGGTCCTCTTGTGGGACTCCTACCAGAGGGAGCAGGTGCTGTCTACAACTCTTTTACTGGCTTTTGGGACCCTACTCTTCATACTGGGTAGCCTTGCCCAACCTTAATAAATGGGGAGGTGCTTAGTCTTACTAAAACTTGATATGCCCTGTTTTGTTGATACTCATGGGAGACCTGCCCTTTCCTAAAAAGAAATGGAGGACTGTATTGGGGAATGGGAACAGAAGGGGGTGGGGGAAGGGACTGGGAGGAGAGGAGGGAGTGGGAACTGCGGCTGGGATGCAAAATAAACAAATAAATAAATTTATTTTAAAAAAGGAAAAAGAAAGCCAGCTTCCAGGCGCCCCTAGGTCTCGTTGGAGGGCATGCACTCTCCTCTCACCATTTCAGGGCTTTCTCACCATTTCCCACTCCACAGTTATGTTTCTCTTTTTAAGTAGGAGTGTCCAACTACAAAACGCATTTTTAAATTGTACTTTATCTTGAAGACAAATAGAACTCCAGGACTCTGGTGCCTGTTCTAGCAGCACTCCTACTAAGTCCTAGATTGGATGACAGACCATTTAGTTCTTAGACTCAACATCACTTGGATTCTGCTTGAGTTGATTTGATCCTTCTCATCTACATGGTTATGTTATCAATGTGTTATGTGTGAGTTTTCTCATTTGTGGTTACCGTCAATGTTTGCTTCCTTTGCATCTTGAGTTTAGTTCATTTTTTTAATTTATTTACATTTATTTATTTATTCTGTGTGTACCATGGTGCACTCAACCGTGTGGATGCCAGGGATTGAACTCAGATCACCAGATTTGGCAACAAGTGCTTTAAAGAAGTGAACCATCTGACTGGCCCTTTGTCCAGTTTTGAATCTTAAAGTGCTTAGGATTCAAAAGCTCAACCAGTATCAGAAGATACGTGGAAATATATGTACATGGTTTTACTCCTCTCTTCCACCACAAGGGAAACGTTATCTATGCTCTGTGTCATCTTGATTTTTGTTTTTAATCACAAGCATCTTTTGGAAGTCATTTTCTGACAGGTCATGATAGCCTTTATACTGGTTTCCTGGCTGTGGGACACTCTGCTGTTGGGGCAATGCACCCTAATTTTCCAGGCTCCTGAGAAGACATCAAGTTGTTTCCACTTCTTTTCCTTTTTTTAAAATTAAGGATTGTCCTATCACAGTGAATGGATTTCATTGTAAAGTGTTTCCTTTTTTGGGGAAGTGTACCTTATTGTTTTGTATCCCTGACTGTATTCATTTGCTTTGGCTGCATAACAAAAATACCCCAGACTACATGTCTTCAGTAACAGAAATATATTTTCCCAGAGTTTTGGAGAAGAGCCAAGGGCCAAGAGCGAGTTGCCATCAAGGCTAATCTGTCTTCTTGGCTTTCAGATGGCGATCTCTCCCTGTGTCTTCACCTGGCCTTTGTAAAGTATTTGTTTCTTAACCTCCTCTTAAAAGGGAATCAGTCATTGGATGAGAGCCAACACAGATAACATTTTTTTACCTTAAGTAACTCTCTAAAAGTTCTGTGTCCAAACAATTGTTTCATTTTGCTGAGAATAGGGCTTTGACGTAAGAAATTGGCAATTCCGTCTACAACAATGTATAAGATCTTGGTATTATCCAATTCCACTTCATTAAGTTTTTGTGTGATTTTGCACTGGCACCAGTAATCACACACTTATTTTTCATCTTCTTAAAATAAAGTTCTTTCAGAAGTATTGCTTATCATCAGCCTCACTGAGTTTTTCCTCTCACGCTGAAGGGTATGGTTCTATTTTTATTCCAGGACTCCTTGATGAGAAACTCATGCTCCATTTCCACAGATCCCATTTACACTGGCATGTTTTTCCTTTCCACCAACTGCTTATACAAAACCTAACAGAAACAGTTCTGAAGCCAGCCAGAACACACACCATTGAGACTCAAATGTTTTCCCCTCCATCTAGATGTTGATGTACAGATTCCTTGCCCTGTGCATCTCCTCTGTTAAAGATTTGATTGTGGAGGGTGGTGTGGGTGAGTTTTCCGAACTAAGGAAAATGTGTAAATGTGATGGGTCCCAAGAGAGCCAGGTCTCCAAGGCTATGATGAGATGAGAGAAGGATTGAACACGCTTCTTTCTAGACCTTGAAATGAGAGGCATGGGTGTTTAGGGCACAGGAAATAAGAACTAAGTATGTTTCTTCCTGACCGATGTCCATTACAGTACACTCTCATTCTAGGGATTGCATGACTAGGGAGGCAGCAACACTAGCTGTTGCTACAGGTACTTCTGGCCCACTGGATTTGGATAACACACAGTGTGATCTGTAGTTCTCATGGGCGAGCACCCTCCCAGCCCCATCAGCTTTGTGTATTGCCAGCATTAGCTCTAGTGACTCCCTCCCATGGTCTCTTTGTGATAAATGGTCTGATATTCTGGGTTTTTATTTTGCAAGTGAAAATGTATTCTAGGGGGCTGGAGAGATGGCTCAGCAGTTAAGAGCACTGACTGTTCTTCCAGAGGTCCTGAGTTCAATTCCCAGCAACCACATGGTGGCTCACAACCACCTGTAATGAGATCTGGTGTCCTCTTCTGGCCTGCAGGCAGAACACTGTATACGTAATAAATACTTTTTAAAAATGTATTCTAAAAACTATAAATGTTCTGAATCTCCTATTTTTAATTACAAAAAACCCACTTCTTCCTGTATTCTTTCTGTATCAAGTTTACATGGCATAACTGCTGATATAATTTGAATCTTAACTGTTCACCCTGGACTCATATGTTGAAAGCCAGGTCCCCAACATGTAAGCTTACACTATTGACAGCTGTGGAACCTTCAGGAGCTGTTATCTAGCAGAAGGAAGTTAGGACATCAGAGGCATGGCCTTACAAAGAATACTGGGATCCTAGACTCATCTCTAGTTCTTTCTACATTCCAGCTGCCAACTTTTCCTCCCTTTGCTGGGGATGTCTTTCTATATGCTGTGAATGTATTGTTCTGATTGATTGATAAATAAAATGCTGATTGGCCAGTAGCCAGGCAGGAAGTATAGTATAGGTGGGATGAGCAGAGAAGAGAATTCTGGGAGTGGAAGGTTGAGTCAGGGGATGCTGCCAGCCACCACCACCATGAGAAGTAAGATGTAAAGTACTGGTAAGCCACAAGCCATGTGGCAACTTATAGATTAATAGAAATGGGTTAATTTAAGGTATAAGAACTAGATAGCAAAAAGCCTGCCACGGCCATACAGTTTATAAGTAATATAAGTCTCTGTGTGTTTACTTAGGTTTGAGCAGCTGTGGGCCCAAGCAGGACTGGAGAAAACTCCAGCTACACCCCTTCCCCATCCTTTCACATTTTTTTTTATAAAATAGAGTCTTTTAACATAGATTCAAGATTCCACTGCCTGCATTTCCATCCTGAGTGAATGAGATTTCAGGTGTGTGCCACCATACCCAGATTTTCTCCCTTTTAAATGGATTCTCTTAGGTAAATTGTCACAGAAACAGAGAGCTGACTAACACAGAAGTCCATGAAAATAAAACACAAAGGTTCTTTCCTGAATGGAGAGGCATGATGCTGTATACATGTTCTTATTAAAAATCAATCCAACAAATTCTCAACCATGGGAGAAATTGAAAATGTGTCCTCATGCATTATTAACATTTTTGGAGATAAATTAAGGAGTCTTTATTAAGATATGAAGGCATATAATCTCACAGCCATTTCATTTTTAGACATTTACTCTGAAATGCAGACAAATTTTATTACATTTACAGTATTTACAAACCTTCATTGAAGCATATAGCCATCTAAAGATAATCAGAATGGGGCATGTGTCTCAGTGGTTCTAGCTCCTGCATGGCACACACAAAGCCAGGATTTGGTCCCAAGAAGAGAGAAAACAAATAAGAACAACAACAGATCCAAATGCTACTGGAAGATGACAGTGTGAACAGTGATGTCAGCACTCAGCAGAATACCTCTGCCACTTATCCCTTTAAAGCCTGAGTCGTACGCAGATGAAGATCCACCAGACTAGAGGGTGCTCAAGCTGTAAAACGCTAGAGGGAAGAAAACACTAGCACAGTGAGTCTCCATCTTCCCAATGCTGTGACCCTTTAATACAGTTCCTCATGTTGTGGTGACCTCCCCTACCATAAAATTATTTTTGCTGCTACTTCATAACTGTAATTTTGCTACTGTTAAAATCATACTGTAGATTTCTGTGCTTTCCAGTGGTCTTAGGCAACCCCTGTGAAAAGATCTTTGGACCACAAAGGGGTCACAACCCATCGGCTGAGAACCACTGCACTAGAGTATGCCATTCTCTCTAGAATCTACATAGGATACTTCTGTAAAATGCACCACCAGAGACTAGCAGTGTGTCTCATGGCAATGGGATTCAGGTTAAGGGAAAGATATTGGAGAAGAGAATCCTGAGGTCTTGTTTTGTCCTTTCTTTTGCAAGTTGATTTTATTTATTTATCTTGTGTGGGTATGAAGAGGTGTGGTGTGTGTGCTGGGGTGTGCACATGCCATGGTGCACATGTGGCCATCAGAGGACAACTTACAGGAGTTATTTGTTTCCACAATGTAGGTACTGAGGATTGAACTCAGGTTGTCAGGCTTGGAGGAAAGTGCCTTCACCTACTGAACAGTCACGCTAGCCCTACTATTTAAATTTTCCTGTAAATGTAGTCCTCTTAATATTAAGAACATTTTCAATAAGCAATTTTCTGTTTATCCTTCTTCCCTTCTTTTCTATGCCCCTCCATTCCTTCCTCCCGTTCTTCTCTTCCTACATTTCTTCCTTCTCTCCTTTT